ATCCTCAGTGATATTTTGTCTGTACAATTTATGCCATGAGACGTTAATGTTTTCAGCTCTTAACATGAACATAGACTACTGTACCTTGTCCAACAACAATGTTGACATTTTTACCCTCGACAGTTGGAACAGGCCCGGAAGTGAGTCCAGCACTGAAGTAAGTTCCGCTAACCACGTGGTAAGTTAGTATGTCTACAAAGAAAACAACTCCTATTGATCTAAAGGTATACGGCAATATTGCATCAGATACAGCATTCTTTTACACAGTCTGTACCTGTAAGTGCTGTTTTGTTCTTGAGAAGGTTGTCCAGTGTTCCTGGAGGAAGGGCTGCAAATGCTTTGTCTGTTGGCGCGAACACTGTAAATGGTCCTGGGCCTAGAGTAATAGATAATTTTGTAAGTACATGTACACGTGTTGTCTGAAGTAATTTTAGTATATTTCATAGAAATGCTTTACATTCTTTAGAATACACAGACCTGAGAGAGTGTCGACCAGTCCGGCTGCCACCACGGCCTTTACCAATGTCCTTAGTTGCTGGTCCTGCTGGGCCAGCTTGACCACGTTTGTGACGGGGATGGGGTACTCCACACGGCTTATCACGTGGATAACACCATTAGTGGCGTTCTGGTCCACTTTAATGATCGGGCTACCGTCTGCTGTTACCACCTATTGAGCATTTCGTATTTATGTAAATTACTGACTCAAACATTAAGAATACCAAAGGCACGGGGAAAAATATATCTACAAGTATAAATGTTCGCATCAATCAAACCATTATGATGGCGGCAGAAGGACTTACCTTGCCTTTTTGGTAGATGTTAATTCTACAGTTCAGTTTGGGGTCTAGTGTTGGTACCACCAGCTCGTTCTTGAGCTGACTTGAGTAAGTCTTGCCACTGAGAACGTGGTATTTCAGGACCGCCACGAGGGCCTCCTTGTTCTTCTTTAAGAAGTCCAATACTTCTGGTGGAAGCTTGGCAAAGGCGTCATTGGTTGGCGCAAACACGGTGAAAGGACCTATAGAGAAAGGAACAAATGATATCAGACAGAAGCATTTTTTTATTGAAATCAAGGAATTCTCATATTGGAAAACGCTGCAGAACAAGAACTATGTTACATGTAACTCCAACGATATTGAATCTGCAGGCGCGCGACTCATATGATGCCGCACCACCACATCTATAACAAATATCACAAAAACTCCTGGTAACGCATGCTGATTTTTTTTATAAAAACATTTGATATGCTAACCCCCCCCCCCCAGTAAGAACAAAACAGACAAACTATTTTCAATTCAGAAGATGCCTTTTAGAAATTGATATAGCCAAAGAAGAAGGTACGGTTTGAGCTTTATTGTGTCCTAAAATTTTTAAAAGTTATGAAATTGGCTTTAACAAGAGTAGAGTAGATGAATATGACAAATCATTCAAGAATATTTTAAAGTTTAATGCAGAAAAGCCCCAGAATAACTCATTTCAGCGCTTATTTTCCTTTAGAAAATAGTGCCCACTTCAATTTTTGGATATATTATATAATCTGCTTTGAAAAACCACATATGTCAAAATTTTTGTGGGCGACGGTGGCAGAGTATCTTTTCTGAAAGAAAATTCCACTTAAAATACGGGAAAATGCTTAAGTTAATGACGTCATAATTAGCATTTAGGAGGTCATTTGTGAAAAATGAATTGTGTCTTCTTACTGCATGGAATTCCTATGAATCAGAAATAATAAATTTTAACATGTTTAATTTCTTATATCTCTGTCATATTTTAGAAAAACATAGGGCTTAATTTGTATTGAAACTGTACCTTCTACCCTTAAGCTTGATACCTATAGTAAAACTGACAAGTGACAATACAAAGAGATAACTTGTGTAATGGTGACCTTGACAATTCATCTGCGACCAATGAAATCGATATTAAGAGCCATTATCTGTAATGACTTAAAATTTTATATAAGAGCTGTGGCACGCATAGTCTCAGAATTTCTCCAAACTCTCTATGATAAAAGTCATTGATACCCTAAACGGAAATCAGGCAAAAATTCGTTGCTATGCTTTATAGTTACCATGGCAACATGTCTTAAAGTTCGAAAAATGGCATTTTTTAACATGTTTAGAGCCCCATAGTTAACATTTGCGGCAAAGCAAACAATTGGCAATGACTGTTTCCAAAAGGTGAAGGTCAGATGTCTCAAATGCATAATAAACATGTTTGGTAAATGAACTATTACATACGTTACTATGGTAACAATGTATTCAAAAGTAATAAAAAATATTCATTGAATTTTATAAAGTCATACATGTAAAAATAAAAGGCAATTATAGAATAAAATGTGACCAAATAATAGAAAAAAGAGCCTTGAAACATATACCAATAACAAAATATGATATTTCATTTGGTTGGCAATGGTTGCCAAGGTTTTTATACCACAGAGAGCCTTCAAAGTAACAGTCTGTATGTTTAAATCTGATACTATCTTTTAAAAAAGCACATTTCCTCATAACTAATGATCAATTTTTAAAGATGTTGGTGTGCTCCTAGTTTTCCCATTTGAAAAAATTCAGATTAGATTCTTTAAATAGAGCGTTGCTATGGAAATAAGCAGAAAATATATGCTTAAAAACCTGAAAAATATTTTCTTTCCTTGGATACGTACCCTTAAATATAGATTCCCAAAACTTTTATGATTGATATTTATTAACAGCTAACATGACTTTTAATTTTGACTATCATCCAATCTCTAAGTGGATGCAAGAAGTTGGCACACCGGGTTTAATATTGATATAAAGTTCACAAAATCGAACATTTTCCCTTCTTGGTAACCATAGTAACAGTGTTGTTTTCTTCGTCAAATTTTATCAATATATGATATTCAACTTCAGTTCTAACAGATAAGTACTATTCAAGCTGAGTCCTTTCATTTGTTTCTTGATTATATGGCAATTTAATTCTTAATGCAGCGAAAAATAATTCACTTTTACGCACTGGTACTTTGTTTCCATGGTAACACTGTAAAAAAGCAATTATACCCAATTTTTCTTATGGTTTTGGTGATGCAAAGTCCTAAGGATGCATATTTGCCAGTCTTGAATTTTCATGTTTTTCCTCAAGACAGTAGCATTAACCCAATCTTAGTTACTGGTTTTGCATGGTTACACCGTGTTACCATGGCAACCATAAAAGTTATTTATAGAATAATATTTCTTATACTTATATATTAAAGGTCAAACATTTTCATTGTTTTTCTTAAGTTGTTGATTGAGTTTGAGCATGTAACACCTATCATTAGTGAATACGGAGTGTTTTTCAGCATATTCCAGCATTTTAAATGTATTCCAAATGTACCCTTGGTTACCACTTACTTAGAGATATATTCTAAACAGTTTCTTTACAGTATAAGTCACATCAAGGTGTCATGTTTTTGTGAGAATGGTTTGTTTGATTTTTCTAGTTTTTATTAAGCCACAGTCAAGATTTAAAGTGGCTGAAAATCTCGATTTTTCAAACTTTTCCGGCTGTTGCCATAGCAACCGAGGCACTTAGCAACGAAATTTTGTTTGATATTTGTTTCTGGTATCAAGAACTAAGCATGGGTGAAGTTTCATCAAAATCAGTGACCATGCGTGGCAACGAAGTTTAAGTGGTTACAGAGAATGGCTATTAATAGTATCGGATAAAACTATGGAGAGATTACATTGTAACGGTTAATGTAAAAGGATTCGGATACTAGGCTAAAAGTCGGACATCGATTAATTTATACCAGTTTTCTAGGTTTTTATTAAGGGTTTGGTCTCCAATTAAATACTGTTAAAAAATTTCCCAATAATCAACATCCAAATCATGTTTAATACATAATTTAAAGATCGTGCGAAACCCTTACATACTTATGGATATCAGATACAGTATATTTACCTCCATTGGCCAAAGTGTCTGCCAAACCCGCTTCCGTGGCTAACTGCAGCAGAGTTGTTGCACCAAGTTGCTGAGCAACCTGCACGATGTTGCCTTGCTGGCATACAGCAGAAGCAACCAAACATAACAGCACCAAGGATTTCATCTTACTACAGCACGGGTTTACTCAACTAACAACATGAACAATGAGTCTTGTGGCTTTAAAAGAGGGGTCTTGTCACGTGTATGAATAAAAGGAAAATAAGTTGTGTAATGCTTTTTTATGCACGGTCTGCAGAAAAAATGCTCGTCAGTCTAAATGCTTTATGCATGATACAATTTGAAATGAAAGAATTTTGAGTAACTGATTAAAATTTAAAGGTTGACGTGTAAATAAATAAAGTTTCAATTGGGTCAACCTGGATTTTATTACCGGAAACGTGAATCCGTCACATGCCAGTGCTTATTCATTGACCACTGTTTACCCCTCCTCATATTTGCAGTACTTGACTATAAATTGTGACTTTGTCCATTGGGATATTCCGAGGCATATTTTTCATTTACTGTCACAGAATAGCATATTGATAGAGTTCAATAAAATCATTTAGATTTGTTCTTTTTTCCATATTTTCACTATAATTATGGTTCTTGGCCATAATTTATGTAACCACGGTATAAAGAGTTCGTTTGTTTGTGCTAAACAGTAGGTGATAACTATTGTAGGTACCTATTTTTGTTTTTCAATATTTGATTAAAGTTAACTGAGTCGTTAGTTATGCATTGGTATATACATGTAGCTGCAAAATTTAGGACATATTTCATATCTTATACCATACCATACATAGAGGTCAATCAGTGCACTTTCATAACGCGCCGAACAAGTGCGCGTGCACTTGTAATAATTATTTCCTTGTACTAGACAAGTGATATTTATTTTCTAATTTCTTGACAAATCGGAATAGACAAAATAGGCTTATCTGTGAGATATAAGTGCCCGAATTTTTATATACAATGCATTTATGTATCAATCAAAGTACTAAGAGTACTTAACTGCTAAAATTACTCCGGACATGACATAAGTCCAGACTTGAGGAGCCAACGCGTTTGTATAAAGCTAACAAGGACATTTATGCCATATGGTGGATGGAATTTTACAACAGGTTTTATTGTAGATAAAACGATATTGCACCTGCGATCTAAAAATTCTAAAGCCTTATTATTAGGGGATGTTTTTCCTCAGCACCCAATTACATTGTATTATCTTTAGGTAATATCTGACGGCAAGTGTACTAGCCTCTAATGTAGAAAAGTGTACAGGCTTACCGTCTCCAGAAAATATTGATAGATGTGGGATCTTCGAATGTAATTGGTAGTAAACTATGGATTGTTGTCAAGAAATGAATATATAATGGAAATCAAGGTTGTACGAATGTTGCAAAGGTATTTCCAAAAATATAGATCGAGCTAGTAACAATGCGTATACATGGTATACCGAGTACATAAACAAGGTTTTGTGTTGCTATTAATTAAATGCAAAATACCAAGAGACACCTATGCCATAAGCTCAAGTGAGATTTAACATGAACTTCATCTCTCTGTCTATGAAATTTTCCAGATTTTTTATTAGTTGGCCTATTTCAACAAAACATGCTACAAAGTATTCTTACAAATACAGGCATCTTTTAAAATCTTCTCGACAACCACTGGGCCAGAAATTTAAAACTTATTTGGAGGCATCTTCATGATCAAGTAGTGCGATTTCAAAGGAAAAGGTATGGTAACGGCCGAATCTGGCCCCTTATTTGATGTAAAAATCAGAACACTGGGAAATTGTGACAGTTTGTAGATAAGAACTTTAAATGATGCTTGCTTTAAAAACCAGCACTACAGTAATTTGGATTCAAATCTGACATGGAAGCCTCTACAGGGTGCAGAAGTAGGACATTTTCCCGAATTTCCTCGATTCTGGTGGAATTTAATTATATTTGAGATACTTTTCTCGTCGGAAAACATAGACAAAACACACTTGCCTTGCTGAAATTTTTGCACATAAACTGCATCTGATACTTATGCATAAAATATATAAACTTGGTAGATAGGCAAGCTTGTGCTCTATGTTTTCCAAAACAAAATGTGCTG